AGTAAAAGTTACACCAATAATTTCAAGCAGTGCCTTATGGTAACTATGCATTTTATAAATGCAATCCACAATCAAGACTGACCAGAAAGCTTGCAATAACTCTATAAAAATAAGATAAGCCTAGAACAGATCTTTCACACAGTTACTTGACTCATCGATCCTATGCCACTCTAGGTATTTATAATCATTTAACTTCTTCATCAGTTGTTGCATCTGTGATTTGATAACTTTCTTAACATATTTGTGTTTTTTACATTCATTGTATATTGTCTTTATAGTGTTGACATGCTTCTTATCAAGTGTTTTATAGTCAATAGTATGTTTCTTGGTATGACCATACTGTTTGACATATCAACAACTAATCTCTTTTCTTTTTCAATTAATCGAACCACATATGAATATCCCTGTAATTGTTCTGCTGGCAGATGATTGTGAATTTCACATACTATTTTCATACCCTATTCCTTATCCATTGCCAATTTAATCCTATGTAACTCAAATGGGTAACCACACTTTTTCATTCTCGTTCTCTTATGTTTCATTTCTTCTACATTGCCCTTTTTCTTTAGCTATCTATATTTTTCACTTCCATGTCAATTTTATTCTAGGTTTCCTCAATTCTTGATTGCACTTATATTTTAGCTTTTGCATGCTCATTTTTAGTGCAATTTGACTTATATTTTAGCTTGTTCCTTAGGATTCTTGGCAAATTTGCTCCTAAATGTACATTTATCTCATGTGTAGGTACAAGTTATGAAATTAAACAATTTTGAACATTTTTAATATAATTTGGAGGAATTTTTTGGGTAAATTATGCAATTGGCCTAAGCTGGTGTCATTAAGCCAAAATTGATACTTATGGAGTTTTCTTGCTTAATTTTTTTTAGTATTATTTTCATAGTTTTTTTTAGTAAAATGTAGGATAAATATATCCATGATATGTTTGAAATTTTTGCAAAAAAAAAAAAAAATGAAAGATAGAAGTTGGTGTTGGAGGTGCATAGCAAAAACACCAAAATTTCAAGGCATTTCAAGCTGGTTGGAGTGCACCAAAGCTAAAGGCTGAGTTGGCATTTTAAGGGGATGTGATTGGCCACTATTTTCACTTTTTAAACCAGCCATTACAAGAAAAAAAAGATTGAAAAGTTTCTTGAAGACGTGAAGCACCAGTACTGTAGCAACAAAAACGTATACAAAGCGGTAAGAGGAAGGCTCTATAAGCCAATCCAATGGAAGACTTTTCTATAATTTTTTTAGATATTAAGCTCATTTCCTTTGCCTGTAAATAGAAGGAGAGGTTGGCCATACGAGAAGAGTTAGATTAGGATTTAAATTTTTAGTTCTTTACCTTTCTACACATTTTTTCTCTTTATTTTACATTTTCCTAGTTTCCAAACATTATTTTCCAGCATTTTCCTTTTAAATTTTATTACAATCTTACTGTTTCCTAAGTGTTTTTAAGTGTTCTTCTAGAATTTTTCAATAAAATTTACATTTGAGTTCATTTTCCTGTTTAAATCTACTGATTTCTTATTGATACTCAAATCTGTTTTTGAATATGCCAATTCTAACCTACTTGCAATTTTTAAAGCATAACTCATTCGAATCTTACTTGTTTTTGTTCAAATTTTTTTGCATTTTTCTAATTCAATTAGCTACAATATAGTTTAAATTTAGCCTCAAACTCACACCACAACATTCCAAATCATGCTTGGAAGTTCCAACCAGATGTAGTGACAATGCAATTCTAGTTTTGAACAAGTAAGTTTGGTGTGAACTTCTCTCCACTTTTGCGATTTGTTTGCACTCTTTTCTTTTTAGATCTTTGTTTCTACTTGTTACCTTGTTAAGTTTAATTTTATGCAATTTATTTCATGCTTTTAAATGTTGTTTGGTTAATTTTCTTTCATGAGGTTCTATTTTTCTAGATTTTGTACTATTTTTTAATTTGAGTTCATTGAGCTGATTTCTTTATTGATTTATGTTATTTTCTTATTGATTTAGTTTAGTTAACTCATAGATCTAGGTTACTTTAGCTTAGTTTTAGTTCATTCCCTCTAGAGAATTGTAGATCTAATTTTTTTTTCCTAAATTGTTAGTTTCCAACTTACAAAAATAATTTTGGTTTCCACTTACTTTTGTTGAATCTTGCAATTTTTCTTTAGTTTCTGTTCTTCAATTTGAATTCTCATATTTTCTTTTAGTGTTCTTTCATATTACAGTTCATAATTATTTGATCTTGCATGATTTAGATTTAGAAACTCTTGTTGAAAATCAGTTTTTCAATTTGCAAATTTCTTCTCGATTTTTGCTTATTCAATGTGTTTTACGGTTTAACTTTGTTTTATTTGTGCATTGAATTTTTATGCTATTGCTTTTTAATTTTCATTTCAAATTTAATTTCATTTAGTTTGGTTACTGTATTTTACATTTTTGTTTAGCATTTATTTTACCCATTGTTTTTCTTTATTTTTTCATTTTAACTAGTTTCCATTTTGATGTTTTATACACTTTTATTTTCATAGTTAATTTTCATTTTTATTTTTTGATTGAACCAACTTTAGAAAGATACAAAGATAATAGGTACTTAGCTTAGAATGTTTTTAACTAATCTTCATAGGATCGACATTTAGACTTTCATAGTTTTTATTATTACTTGAATGGTTTGTGCGCTTATAGAGTTTGTTTGAATAGGCCTCCCACCTCGAATTTTTTAATCACAATCTTGAAACCTTAATCTTTTCCAACACGTCTAGCCCATGAAATTAAAGTTTCTCTATTACAAAACGCCTGCACAACGTTTTTAACTTATTATATCTATATAACATTATATATTTCTACATCTTCCAATAACACTAAAGCTCATAAACATAATCTTATCTCTTCCATAGTAAATGAATCTGTGCAATCATATCTAGTATTTAAATCATCTGGTGATTGATCCCACTTTATCAATATAGTTTTCACATTGATCTATATATCACAATATATTAAAATATTTTATTAAAAGAAATATAAAAATTGTAGAAAATTATAATGTATTCTTGGAAATTAATTTTAAGAAATTATATGGTATTTTAGGAAATGGATTTTGAAAAATACATAATAATATTAGAAAATCCATTTTTGAAAATTTTTTTATATTCTAAAAAATAAGCTTTCAAAAACATAAAAAATTCAGACTCGACTAGGTCAGATTTCATTATCTCGTCAAGCTCTTTTATCCCATTGTTGTTTTTCATGAATCCATTCTTACATGGTTTGTAGGATTTAACAAAGGTTTCAAGATTTTGATTTTAGTTTTAAAGATTTAGGGTTTAGTGTATGAAAAAGAGAGATAAAAGAGAAAGAATGAAGAAAATGGAAAAAAGAAGACGAAGGTGAAAGTACGAGAATTTGAAGGTATTTTTGTAATTTATTGAATGTTAAATTGAGTATTTGGTATGTAAGTATTTTTTAAAGAAAATTTATAAGATGTATATAAAAGATTTTATGGTGTATTTAGAACACTTGCCTAATAAATTCTTTTTATTATATTGCCCTTAATGACAAATGAATAATATGTGAGATTTAAAAAATTATTTAAATAATTGATTTATTTTATATTTTCCTAATATAATTATTTATTTAACTAGTAGGCAGTTTAATTAAATTAATTTATATATTTATATAAAGTGTAAACTTGCTTTATTTACTCGTAAATTATTTTTATATATAAATTTAACATGTAAAATTTATATTTTTTATTATGATAATAAAAGATGTTTACTCTTTCAAATATCATCCATTATATATAAAAATTTAACATGTAAATTTTATAATCTTTTTAATAAGAATAGACAACATTTACTTTTTCAAACCTCATTTATTATCACAATAAACGAAATTTACTTTTTGAAACCTCATCTATTAACATGTAAATTTTATACTTTCTATTATAATAATTGACGACATTCACTTTTTCAAATGTCATCTATTATCATAATTTCTCACTTTTTTATGCATGCAAATTATATAAAATTTAATACTATATTATCAAATAATAATATCTTAAAATTTATTAAAAGTTGATTTTAAGTATATTAATTATTTTAGGCGATGAATCAATGCAGTTAAAGAATTTTTTTTATATCTATATATGAAAATGTTAATTATTTCTTGAATTCCTTTAAATTTTATTTTATTGACAAAAATTTATTTAAGATTGTGTAATTAAATTTGCACTTTTGAAAATAATAGAAAACATAAAATTAATTTTTTAAAGATTTACATCTGAATATTTGATTTATTTATTTTTCAATTCAAAAGATTTATCAACAAAAGTTATTTTTATGAACTGAAACATTAACTTACGCTTTTTTTTTTTTCAAAATTTTGATAGGTTAAAATACTAAAAAAGCTCTTGAACTATTTTTTTTAAATAAGTCCTATTATTTTTATTATACTTAAATAAGTTCTTAATTTTTTGTTTATATCTAAATAGGCCTTTATTTCAAACAAAACAATTGATTTTTAAAGATTTATTTTGGTATAAATTAAAAGTTAAAAAATTATTTGCATACAAATTAAAGTTTATTAACTTATCTAAGTGAAGTGACAAAGTTTAAAATTTTTTTTTATTATTTTAAACAATTTGATACTATTATCATTAAATTAACGAAATTCATTTTCTTTTTTTCTCCTCGTCATAACTCATGTCAAGTTTTTCTATCATTTTTTTAAATAAAATCAAATTAAATGTAAAAAACTTAAATTAAAAAATAAATTAAAATAACTTATTTAATTTTTATTTTGTATAAAACAATATTTTCTCATACACGATTTTAAAAATCAAACATTAAGATTACGAATGCTTTTATGCGTGTCAGATAAAACCTTGATTTATAAGATAATTTCTATTATTTTAAACTTAAATACCAATAATTGAAAAAAAAAAAAAAAAAAGAACAAATTTTAAAGAAAACCTCATGGATGAAAGGTTTTTATTCTAGACTATTTTCTTCCTTCTTAACATCGTTTAGATTCCTAATAAGAGAAAACAATTTTAAATTTCGCAATCCAAACATAAAATTCATGTCAAAAACTACGATTTTTAAAGAGATCTTAGATTCCATGATCCAAATGCCTTTAAAAATTTATACATTTGGGATATGTCTCTAGAAAATTACAGTTATGTTAAAAGTTGAAGTAGTTAAACAGGATACGTCAAAAGTTGGACGGCCATCCACCCAAAAATATAAGAAGTTAAGAGATGCAAAAGCCTAAAACTAAACTCCTCTGTGAAAAGGCCAACTACCTCATCTCCTCCTCTTCTTCCTGCGCCTTTCACTTTCATCAGAACTTGACGAATCTGACTCTGACTCAGAACTAGCACTTTTTGAATCAGATGAACTAGAGCTCCCAGATTCATCACCAGATTCTGATTCTGTTTCTAACTCAGATGCTGGTTTCTGCTGTTGCATGATAAGCCGTGGCATGTTCTTCAAATACTCACGCAAATTTTCAGTGATACCACCAAGCCCAATAGAAGTGAAAAAGTTAATGGAAAATCGCGTGTTTTTGGGATTATCCCTTGGGAAAATGGATTCAAACGAATCCTGCATCGTAGGATCTGAGAGCCGCTCATTCAGTCTGCGAATTCCGAGATGCTCTGACAGTTCCTATTCCGTTACCAAGTACCAAAATCAACATAACAGCTTTGTTCCATAATAATAATAATAAAATCAACTAGTTGACCATGCATATGCGACAAGTTCTACACGGGCAAATGGAAAAAAAATAAAAATAAAAAGAGTGAAACAAAAGGTTTATTTCCAAACAGAAGATTAAGCTTTGTGATGTCCCTCTCTTTGAGTATACCAAATTAAACTCATTTATCCTAACATTTTCGATGTCCTATTGGAAATAGATTGTTATCACTTGAAATGTCTCATAATTAGACATGCTAGAAATCAACATTTTAATTTTTGCTTTATATCATCTAAGTAACCAACTTTAAACCAATTGCCCAGATGCACATGTAATTTGGTTCATAGTTTTAATCAACTCAAAAGAAAAGTATGACGGCACTTGGCTACTTGGTTCCATACAAAAGGAGCCCAGCCAGCATAGAAGAAAAAAGAAACAGGTAAAATATTGAAGTATACTCTTTTAACTTACCTGGAAGAGAATCTTGATAAATATTCGGGAAGAAGAAGTCGTGTCCTCCTCAGTTAAGCGAATATAGGCTAGAACATGCCAAGGCAGAGCATCTGTACCAAGTAAATGTGCAAAAAACTTTGCCACATTACGCAATTTGTTTGTTTCAAGACGATGAATCATAGAATACTGCTGAACAAAGCATTTGTCAAAATTTTCCTGATAGACTTTGTTGATCATGCAAAACCGCTGCCCCAGAAGACCATAATATCGAAGGTAAGTTCTCTCCTGACTGCAGCATTCCAAAAGCATAACGCATAACTCCATCTGAAATACCAAAATCAAGGCAACAAGTTTCTTAGATTGCAACAATATAAAACAAGAATACTACTCCCACTATAAAAGAAAAAGGAAGGTTATTCGGTTTTGTGAGGGATAGAGGGCAATCACATATAATCAGTAATGCAGGAAGGGAAATATGAATTTTCTTAAGGAAAAACAAACACCTTTTGATTGATCTATTAAATTACCTCTTGCCCTGGCTCAAGCTTAATTTTCAGCAGCTTGTGGCCAGCCTCCTCAAAATCTACACTGGACATGATTGTCAAGTAGATTGTCCTCCGAAGATTTACAAGATTTGTCTCTGTTTCATCTTTTATTTTCATCTGCTCTTCATCTTCCTCATCAGATTCATCATCCTCTTCATCCTCCTCATCACCTGAACCCGCATCAGAACCCTCTTCATCCTCGGATTCCTCACCAAGGATGGTTTTCTTCAACTCTTCATAGCGCTTTTCATTCTCCAAGAATTGAGTATCTGGTTTAAAAATGTCTGCAAGAAAGACAATTACAAATATTCACGATGACATACCAGAAGGAATTAACCAAACGGGTAGAGTTCATCAATAAAAAATGAATAATTAAATATGTAGCTAGAGACAATTTGAGACACACCAAGGGTGATCTCTGGATCTATCTCATCTTGGAGAGATATCTCATGAGTTAATTGGTCCTCCTGCTCAACAAGGTCTAGTTCTGGACGAACAGCAGGGTACCCCTGTAAATGCATAAATGGAAAACAAAATTATATGTCGTTCCTTTTGTTAGAAGTAAAGGAATGAGACCTTAAAGTTTCACAGGACTTTAAAAGAATTATTCAGGGAAAAAAACACACCTGAAACTTGGCTTTCCTTACGGCAAATAAGCCCTCTATCAGAAATTGAACGCGTTTATCTATCTCTCCCTCGTGAAGAATCCCCCGAAAACGCTCAAAAATACCTGTAAACACAACGGGCAACATTAATTGAAAAGGGAAACAAATAAAAATTCTTATAACATACCGGTAGACTAGAGTCACCAAAGGGAGAGGGGGAGAGAGAGAGAGAGAGAGAGAGGAAATAACCAAAATTTTTTCCTCAACTTTATTTCAGATAAAATTACATGAACATTAAACAAAATTTCTATTATTAATTGTAAAAAGCTTCCTGAAGTAGCCAATACATAGCAAGTAAGATGATGAAATTCAAAAAACTAAAGAATCAGAGTCAGAAATATAGGTTTTACCATTGTGGACAAAATATTTTTAAAACCAGTAAACAATAACTTTTTCTAAACTGAACTCATCTAACTGACCAGCATTATAACCACACTTTACGTTATTAACTAAATGAAGTTCATCTAGAAGCTGAAGCAAGATAAACAGGCATCCCCGAGAAAAAATGATTTGTCATGTATTACATGTACGATTAAGAAAATGCAAGACAATGCATCTCAGTAATCCTACACCATAATATTATGGAATCTAAACCAGTATCAATCATAATACAGAAAAGTAAAACTACTGCATTGGACTATATATGATTCAAACAGTGGCACTCACCATGGAGGCCTTTCGGTGAAAGATCCTGAAGTAATGAACCACACTCGGTAACAAAACCAACAGCCACCTCAACACTGTCATCAGTAGGGTTCTCCAGCAAAACAGTGAGCAGTTCCAAAGCAATAATCTCGTGAGCCACTTGCTGGTTCACAAGATGTGCTATAAATTTAACAGCAGCTAATAATTGAGGCTGTCCAATAAAAGAAAAAGTCAGTAACATACTCAACAGAAAAAAAGGTAACTTTAGACAATGATAAATAAATCATTAGAATTGGTGAAGAAATGGGCAACCACTCACCTTGTCATTCCGCTTATATGCTCTCTTAAGCTGCAAAACAATCCTTCTCAACAATAAATCCCCCACCTCAGGAAACTTGGTGTTAACAACAGCTACCAATGCAGCAAAAACATCTGTGAAACCTGGAGATGCCATCTGAGATTTCATACACGAACGACAAAAGAGACCCCTTCCTCGTATAAGATTCTCTGCAAAGAGTTCGGGGATAATATTCTTTATATTAGTAGCATTGACTTTGTTAACAAGCCCATTGATACTTTTTCTAAGGGCATCCCATGTTAATCGCTGATACTCAACGCTGCTCTTATCCTGTGTCTCTTTCATCATTCTTGCTAATTTAAATGGAGGAATATAAACACCTCCACTCCTACCCAAATTCGCCGTATCACCATTCAAGTTGATTTGTTGCAAAGCTGATTGTTTCTGCTTGACATCTCCTTCCTCTTTCTCCTTCAAACTATTATCATCTCTGTTTCTGCGGCTTGGCTTAATATCATTGTCTCTCCTCTCACTTCTATTCTCGTGTTCTGGACTTTTGTGGTACCTTCTTCTATGATCCTCATCATCCTCCGAATCATGCCGTGAATGACGACGTCCATCCCTATGTCTATACCTATCTTCTTCAGATCTCCATCGTCTATCATTATGCCTATCGCTATGTCCAATGTCACGCCTATTACTTCTATCCCTTTCTCCCCTCCTATCTCTCTTGGACCGTTTCTCTTCTTCTGATCCATCAGACCGTTGGGAATTTTCATCCATTGCATCTCTCCGCCTAGTCTTAGCATCATCACCATGTCTACTTTCTCTTTCACGCCTTCTGTCCCTATAGGCAAGCTTGTCTTCTTCTTCATCAGAAGATCTAGAATGTCCTCTCCACCTATCCCTACCATCGTAATCATCATCATCATGAATTCTCACTTTATCTCGCCTCGTATCTATATTGGCACGCTTGTCTTCTTCATCAGAAGATGTAGGATGCTCTCTCCGCCGATTCTCCTCATTATCATCATGATTTCTTTCTCTTTCAAGTCTTCCCTTTTCCCTATCTGACCTAGAATGCCTTTTGTGTCGATTACGATGCCCGTCACTCGCATCTCCCGAATTATCGTCACTCGATTCACTATATTTTCTAGCCATACTTTAAAAAGTTACAATCAGTTATGGACAAATACCGAAACAAATTGGATAACAGAAACTCTAAACAAAATTTAAAAAAAAAAAAAAAAAGAAGAAAAAGCCTTGACCAGATAAATATGAACAAAGAAGCAAAGAAGAAAAGTAAAAGCGAGGTAAGGCTGATCCGAGCGAGTGTCGAAAGGTCTCAAACTCAAATCAGAGCAGCATGAATTCAAATAGAGTGAAGCTCTAATACACGGACTTCAAAAACTATTTCAGGGCAAATCAAATAACAAAAAAATTTTAAAATCGACGTTAGCAACTGGATTTTTTAACAAACACACCACAAGTTGATCTAAATTTTACAAACTACAAAATGTTAGAATAAAATCTAAACATAACCGTATTGAAAGTTTGAGATTTTATGGAAGCCGACACCATCTTTATGTCAGTTGAGATTGGGATTTTTTGAGGCGGCGTCACAAGGAGGAACAAGCATAATGATAATAGGGTTTTTGGCTTTTAGCATTTTGAATCTGTTTTTTTTTTTTTTTTGTTCTTTTTTAGATTTGTTATATTGTAATTCGTATATGTGATCAAATGACAAAACTGCCCATCATTTGTATTAAAACGTTAACTTTGTGATGGTATTTAGGTAATTGTAACAAATACATACATACAAAAGTAACTCAACCCGTTCGCATCACCTAAAATCGTCCGAGTCAACAAGTTTCTCTCTGACCCGCTGAGTCTGAACAGTTTGATTCGGATCAATTACACAGTTTGAAATAACCTTCCAATTTTCTTTTTTAGAGGAAATAACTCTTATATTATTAGTTTAATATGTTACAATCTTTTCCAATAGTTTCCAATAAAAAACCTAGATATTCTTTTGCCCATAGTACATCTTCCTCTAATTATTCCCCATATTTTACTAGATTGTGTGTTGTCATATTGCCCTTATTGGAAATATAGGTCCAACTTCCTGTAATTAGATTTAAATCAATTAAAGTTTTTTGTTTTTTATTTTACATAAAGTCCTAATTATTTAATGAAAAAAAATGAGAGTGTTTTAAGATGAAAAACAAAGTAGTGTTGAAAATCAAAGAAAAGAAAAAAGAAAAATGGTCAAAAAAAAGAAAAGAGAAAAGGGAGAATTGGTTAAATGGAGTCGATTCATGGTCCGATTAAGTTGAAATTTTATTAACAAATCTATAGTTCAGAGTTTTATATTTTGAATAATAAAAATCGAGTTTAAAGCTCTCTAAAAATAAATCCAATATGTATTTATCAAATCACTTATTTGATGAAATTTTTTTAATTGTTTCTCTAGTTATTGATTAGCTTTAGTTTAAGTTAGAGAATAACTTTGTATATCCATTATTTGATAGTGAAGTTTTTTTTATGGTCCGTAATTTTTTTTCTCTACATTGAAAGATTTTTCACGTAATTCTTAGCATTTTTTTTTCTTGCGTTATTGATTATTGATTGTTGTCTATTACTGTGAGTTCATTACAATATATTACTTATGCGTTGTTTATTTATTACTTCAGACCCAACAAATGATATTAAAGCGAGTGTTATTTTGAGACATTAATACAAAACTAACCCAAGACAAAAATAAATTCTATTTGAGATCATGAAGGGTGATACAAGCTCTATGATAAAATTGACAGCATCAAATTATTCAATTTAGAAGCTTATGATATAAGATCATTTATACTGTAAAGATTTGTATGAGTTAATATTGAGTGATTTGACTTAACCAACAGATATGAAAGATGAAAGCTGAAAGAAGTTATGCAAAAAGATGCTTGCTCCAATCAAAAAATAAGTTGATATCAGTGTATTTTATCATGTAGCGTAAGAGACAAATGCTTATACTATTTGAAAAAAATTAACAACACTATATGAGAGAGAAATATGTATAAATAAAATTATGTTTGTTAAAAAGGTTGCAACTTTACAGTACAGGGATGGACAATTTATTATAGAGCACTTGAGTGATTTTTAAGATATATTTAATCGGATGACTACTGTGGAGCTTAAGATATATAATGAAATGAATGTGCTGTTTCTTTTGGGTTCATTATCAGATAGTTAAAATACTTTAGTTATGACTGTTCTTAATTTAGCTTCTGATTATAATGTGACATTAGAGATGGTAAAAGACAATATGCTTTATAAAAATGTAAAGCGAAAAGATTTAGACCATAGGAATCAAGTTTTGATCACAAAGAATATGGGTAGAAACATCAACAGAGATTAAAACTCAAAAGGTTATAGTAAGTCTAAATATAGATCGAAGTCTAAAGATAAAGTGAAGTACTTCCATTATGGTAAAGCATGTTATACAAAACAATATTGTAAAATCTCAAAGCAAGAGCAAAAAAAAGATAAAGGCAAAAGTTTGAATGATGACAATATTGTAACAGTGAATTCATATAGTAATTCAATTACTTTGATTTGTATAATCATGTTGGTGATCATGATATTGAGTGGATAGTTGACACAAGAGTGACATATCATCGTGTTCCTAAGGGAGAATTGTTTACAACTTACAAAGCAGGAGACTTTGGTTACACCAATATGATAAACAAAAGTATGTTGTAGTTTGCTGGGATTGGTGATATTGTTGTACAAATTAGTATGGATTACATGTTGACTTTGAGAGATGTCAGACATACTCCAAATATGAGAATGAACTTACTTACTATTAATGTCCTTGATAAGAAAAAATATGAGAGTCGATAAAAAAATAGACAGTGAAAGCTTTTTAAAGGATCTATGGCAATTACAAAAGGAAAACTATGCTATACAATATATGACATCGAAGTCTTTGTACATCATATAACTTGGGCTGAAACTAAGGTAAACTTATCCAAAAATAAGATGGGCCTATCCTTGAAAATAAAAAAAATTACATTCACACTAGCTAAAAAAGAAAAGCATGAAGGTAGATGAGATTGTGGTTAGATTCATTATCATGTAATCTGTAAGTGTAAATAGGCAGAAGATTGCATTCACATTACATATTATTATGTTCACATGCAAATCCTTTGATTTTAGGTATGATTATAACAATTCAATCTAAAAGTTCTTATGCTAAGAGAGATGTTCTTAGTCTATATATTTGTTATTATTCTTTGGTAGAATGAGAATAGAGTTTTATTTATCCTTAGGTAATCTTCTAGGTTATTCTTTAAGTTTTGTATCTCTTAGGTGGATTTCTTAAAGTGGTGAACTTTTATTATTCTGTATCCTTGATTAGAATTCTTAGGGTAGTGTTTCTGCATCCCTTAGTTTCTAGTCTTGGTGGTGAACTTTTATCCCTTTTAATCCAATTATCATATTCTGCCATTATTCAAATTCTTGTGAGTTATCTTTTTTGTAAGTTTTTTTATTTGCAGTTAATCTTCACATCTCAAATATCAATTTTTGATATCAAATTGATATCAGAGCTATGATAAGTCATCGTCGTCAAGCACCAATAGAAGAGGTTGAAGCCAACACCGATGTTGCAGCAACTACCAATATTGATCCAATGATGCTTTTATAGAAAAGATATGATAATAGATCCTTTAACTACAACATCGACTGTATATATAAGAAGAGAGAAAGAAGATAAGGAGGCAACGAAAGAGAAATAAAAAAGATGAAAGAGAAACTAATCCGTTCCATGAAAATAATAGTGATTATGATGATAGCACCCTATCTCACCTACGACAAGTTAGAGTATATCTACGAAAAAATCAACTTCAACCTAGCATATTTAATTCAAAGATAAAAATTCTTAAGTTCGAAGGGAAGATACAACTAAAAGAATTTTTAAATTGACTACATACAGTAAAATGCATATTTGAATACTATGATGCCCTTGAACATCGTAAGGTGAAGCTAGTGGCCATTAAACTCAGAAAGTATGCATCATTTTAGTGGAAAAAATCTAAAGAAGCAAAGAGAAAGAGAAGGTAGGAGAAAAATTACAACTTGAAAGAAGATGAAAAGAAAGTTGAAAAGAAAGTATCTCTCAAATAATTTTTGACAAGATATCTTTCTTAGGCTTCATAACTTGAAGCAAACATATTTTTCAATGAAAGAGTATACGGTTAAGTTTGACCATCTCATGTTAAAGTATGAATTAGTGAAATAAGAGGAGCAGACTATTACCTGGTATCTTAAAAGATTGGAGATTGAGATAGCTAATGTGGTGTAGCTATAATCTTATTGGACTTTCAACGATGTATGCAAACTTACCCTTAAGATGGAGAGATAATAAAAGAAGGCCCGTGGTAGTAACTTGAGATTTGGGTCCAGAAAAAGCTATATCAATAAAGGTGGCTCATTCAAAATTGTTATTCTTTCTAAGCTCAGTCAAAAGCAACCCCAAAAGAAAGATAAAATTTTAACAAGCAAGCCTCAATCTAGTGCACAAATCATAAGGTGTTTTAAATATCAAAGGCTTGGACACATTACTTCAGAATGCCCAAACAGAAAGATTATGACTCTAATAGAGGAAGGCTTAGAGGAAAATGAAAAAGAGCTAGCTGAAAATGATCAGAACCTTGAAAAGAAGAAAAAGGTAACTTATGGTAATTATGGAGTATCCTTAGTCATACAATGCAACTTAAGTACCACACCTACTAAGGAAAAGGATTGGTTGCGTAAAATCATGTTTCACACTCGATGTACTATCCATGAGAAGGTATGTGATGTTATAATTGATAATGAAAGTTTTAAAAACATTGTTTCTACCTTTATGGTACAGAAATTAAGCCTCAGAGCAGTAGATCACCCATAACCATATAAGCTGTCTTGACTACAGGAAGAAAATGAAATCAAGGTTAGCAAAAGGTGTTTAGTTTTTTTTTTCATAAGAAAGTAATACAAAGATGAAGTGTGGTGTGATGTAGCTCTAATGGATGCTTGCCATTTACTGCTCGAAAGACCTTGACACTATAACAAGAGGGTTATTTATGATGGTTACCGTAACACTTACACATTTGTGAATGATGGATGTAAAATCATCCTAGGTATTACCAAGCCCATGATGATGTCAAAACTAACTAAAGAGGAAGGAAGTAGTTTGTTTACCAAGGTCAATTACAAAAAGAAAAATTAAGATGGGTAGTATTATATATGCTTTGATGTTGATTGAGAAGAATAAAAATAGTGAAAAGTTTCCTGTAGTGATACAACCATTATTGGTAAAATTTTAAGATGTTGTTCAAAAAGAGTTATCAACTGGTCTACCACTAATAAGGGACATTCAATACTGCATAGACCTTATCTTAAGAGCTATTCTACCTAATGAGGTAACCTATAGGATGAGTCCTAAAGAGCATACAGAGTTACAATGCCAAGTCGATGAATTGGTGAGAAAAAGAATGATGCATAAAAGCATGAGCCTTTGTGCAGTCTCAGTTTTTTTTGTGCCTAAGAAGGATGGATCGTAGCGCATGTGTATGGATAGTAGGGTAATTAATAAAATCACAGTTGACTATCACTTTCCTATTCCGTACTTAGATAACTTGTTGGA